AAGGCAAAGAAGACGAGAGGAGAAGAAGGGAAGGAAGGGCAAAGTGATACATCGGGCATACTGAAATGAAAATGGTACAACGTTGCTCCGACAGGCAAAAGATGAAATATATGCTCGTAAAATAAGTGAACGCTAGATGACACAACTTGAAACGCCTAATCAAATAGGAATTTAGTAGATTTCAAAGAACACTGATAAAACTACGTTTTTGATAAAGTGACAAATGATGCCTGTAGACTTGCTAGAGAAAATGGTCGTGGAATAAACTACGTGAAAAATTTGAACAAGAACACATTCAAATCTCGTAAAATAAATTCTAAAGAATTTATTTCACGAATGAATATGAAATGGATTCAGCTGATCGGTCCACTTCCGCAAGTAAACGATTCGACCAGTGGGAAATTACTATCTTCTCCTGTAATATAATAATAAAAATAACAACGAATTACCTCAAAAGCGTACGCTTTCACGCATAAGACGTAGTTTTTCCATACATAAGACCCATATATAAGACTTGATTAGGGTCGCCCAGCAATCAGAAATATAAAAAGTGCACGCCTTCGACATGTAATGTTCCTCACAGATCCCAAACTGTCCGTCAACCACTCAGATGCAAGCGAGGAAACATCACGACCGCCGTGAATCTACGATAATATATCAAAAAAAAGACGCCTTAAACCTATGATATCACATACCAAAATGCTACCTTTCTTTCTCAGGCAATGAAGAAGAAGATAGGCAAAGTAATGTAATGAATCCAATGGAGCTTTTACTGTAACAGGTATTCTTTAGTCCCATTTATTTCAGTGATCATCCCCGGAAGAGATGACCGCTTCCAAAGTAAAAGAAAGAAATCATTGCTCAATGTTTACATTTATCGATTCAAAAATTATGAATTATTCAGAGACGAGAGCAATGAGAGATAAACTCAAACACTCGCACTTCATCCCCCAGCTCATAGATCACGTCTTTGCTGCATTATTTCTTTTATAGTTATCACAAATGCGGTTATTTGGAAATGAAATATTATTTACAGTAAATCTCTCTATTCTACTATATGAATGCCTCCTTGCATAGACACTTTTTTCCCATTTGTACTTGGCTAAAATATTTTTTCATACTCATTAACTGTAAAAAGGAATTGGGCAAAGTCCAAATTGTGGAATTGTAAAGAGAAAAATCCGAATTTTCATAGATGTATGCTAATAGGTTCCTTTCATCTGCAATGAACTAAAATTTTATTGGTTTCATTGATATGATATTACTCAAGAGACGAAAGAATACAATGAATGCGTGAGGAAAAGTTTGGAAAATTGAATGTGCTCGATAAACATTACACATCTCAAGAGAGGTTGGTGGTCCACTGCGCTTCGCCCAGATATTTTTGAATCGATTTGTAAATACTCTGAACGACAAATACAAGCCGACAGAGAGAGAAAGAATGAATGTTATGTGAAGCGTAGAAAAGGGAAGAAATATTGATAACCCTCCCTCCATACCACAGTTTGAGGGAAAAAGAGATAATAGCAGCAGCATCGCTATCACCACCACATCAACAATTCATTCATTCATCAGTACCATTTATTTATTCACAAAATTGAAGTTTCACGTGAACAATAAGCTTCATGTGAAATTCACGCGAAGCTTATTATTTCCCTCAAGTTTATCGTATTTCAGCATGGGACATTCCATGTGAGAAGTGAGAGTAGTGTATTGCATAAAAAAATAAGTCTGACAGATCGAGAGAATGCTATATGCTTTGGTGACAGTGAGACGAATTTCCATAACGTGGAGATGTAGGTGTACACCACGGTGATATTGCCACGGTACTCACTGCACACGGATATCATTTAAGGAAAGGCCATGAATAAACAAATAACTGCTATTAAAGAAGGAAACTTAAAAATAAGACTGTTGAAGGCTATACTCACCTTCGATAAAAGAAACCTTTCCAATCTAGAACATGTTCCTATATTATGATAACAAGCAACAGCACTATGATATACTTATCAGTAATACTATAATAAAAAACACGCCTGAGGTAGATAACTAGCCTGCAGAAGGGAGAAATCCTGTAAGGATCTGACATTTAGCGAATTCTCATCACATATATAAGTGAAAACTGTTTTCAAAGCAGTGACTCCCGGTTTAGCTTCCGAATCATCATGCTACGATCATCTATCTGCTTATACAAAAACTAAAAGAAATCGGCAGCGAGTTTAGAAGTTTATCGAACTCATCATCCATATCACCTAATTTCTGACCAGTTAAATGAGACACAACTTCCAGCCTTTATATGGAATGTTGCAGCGTATATTCTTACGTTACATAATCAATGACTGGACAAAGTACTGAAATCTACTTCGAATCCCACTCCTACACGATCAACAACAGCAAAAGAATGATGTACACATGACACTGAGAGATGTGATGATGATGGGTGTGTGCATGTGCGTGCATGTGTGTGCGTGTGTGTGTGTGTGAGTGTATGTGTGTGTCAAGAAGGGTGATGTATAGCAGAAGAGGCACAACGGTGGCAATAATACATCGCAGTGTAAATATGGAAATGGTAGTGGTTGCACTAATGGAGCAATTTTTTGTGCTGCTCAAATGATTTGATCTTGCTATTTTTTCTCCATGATCATATGAGGCAAATTTTTTTTTAAATTGCTATCACAATGAATTATTCATTACTTTATGCAGTTAAATGAAATCATTTTCAAAGTATAGTTAGATCATTTGATGAAAATTCAGTGGAACAACCTTATAAAAATATCAATGTAAATAATCAGACTTTTATCCTTAAGCTTCCGCATATCAATTTTGAATTCTTAATGTATAGATGAGATTTTGTCAAATGAAAAACAATTCGCAAATAAAAATCTGTTACTTAAGTACCTCGTTTTATATCTAGAAATAAAAATGCCCGTTCAGTCTAAAAACTATCTTCTCAACATGCTTCTTCATCAGATGAACAAATAATTCGGATGTCGCAGCTGTGTTCTGAAAGTTTATAATATTCTATCTGCATTAACTGAAAACCGAAAGTGATGAAAAATGAATTTTAAATACATTAAAATTCCATTCAAATCATGCACTTCTGAAACTCTAATCAGTATGCACTTCTGAAACTCTAATCGAAAATGAAATATAAAAAAAAGATAGAAGTGCATCGGAAATTCCACTGATATTTGGGTATGATTCAAATAAATCAATTTAGAAGCTTGCAAAAAGGTGCAACAAACCGAAAATTCCACTGCTAAGTTCGATGTTATCAGTGGTTCTTTCTCTTATTAAAAACAAACCATTTCATACAAATACAAGCTCCATGACAGCTTAATAGTAACTAGATTCCCACTTCTGTAACTGACAAGTGGAAAAGTTTGGAGTCAAAAAGTAGGTGATATAGTAGGTACAATAGGTCCAATCAACAGGTACAATACTATATTCAAGTTCAATTTCGTGACATTTATCACAAATCTGAAATCTGCAGAAAAAAGTAGAAATTATTTCTGCTTTTAAATCTCTAACTCTTACCTTGACATCCTGATCTCTGATTTGATTCAATTGGCACTTCTCTTAAACAAGAAAGAGGAAGACGAACCTATCAATTTGTCAACTAGTTCTCGCAAACGTTCACGACAAATTCTGTTCCGATGTTTACGAAAACATATGCATGCATTTTGTCCTGTCTCAGTTGTTCAATTCTAGAAAATAACGTGTTTTTCGTAGCAAATTTGAATCATTTAATGAACAACAAATCGCACATGTTGATCTTGGAAAGTTTTTTAAATTACAATTACAGTATCGTCTGAAACATCAAATACACGCTGCATTTACTCCAACTGTGGCTGGAAACAGCCAAAATAAGCAAAAGTTTATGAAGCAAATATCTTGCAAACTATTAAACAGCAAAATAAGCCTTGGAAAGATAGTAGAGTGTGACGAATAATTTGAAAAGTTGGGTCACTGCATCTAAATGAAGGGAAAGTGTACTGACAAATTGACAAATTTCATCCCAAATCGTTTGGAATGAGCAAACGGAGTAACAAATAGATGAGTGAATAAAAATCTAAACTTTTTAAAAAAAATAGATTCGGTAGAAGAGCCATGAGTGGCTGATAGCTTTCAGAACAAATTGTAGAAAAAAAAAAAGAAACAAATACAAAGCTATGAAGAAAAACAAAAATTAAAACAAATCATAATTTTGACTGGTTCAGTAATTCCGCACGCATTTTTTTTTTCAAAATTCGATAAAATGACAATTTGAGGTAAAGCATAGAGACGGATATTTCAAAATCCTTTTTAAATATTATCATTACGTTCATGCGGTATTTCAACTATTGGCATTTTCAATCAAACAGAATTTTGTACTGGTCATAATCCACTCAGTTCTACAAATTAGAATATGTTCTTTTTCTATTTTGAACCGATAGAAATCCGTCCCTCTCTATCTATAACAAATTTAAAAGCTGTATCCAAATACAGCACTTCACATACAAGATTATATTGGATAAGATCTTGCTATCAAGGATAACAGTATAGTAATGATGGGAGTAATAAGTATAAAAATATCTTCCAAAATCATCACTTAAGCAGATATTATCGGAGAACAGAAGATCTTGCCAACTTGAGAACGGAAAAGAAAGGTATCGAAAATCTCTATTCAAAAGCATGGAAGGGACAGGCTGTCAAGACCGATATGCTTATAAAGGTGTATGGTCTGAGAAACAGAGATCCATGCAAAGTCTCTCTCTCTCCCTTTCTCTCAAAAATGTCATCAGAAAAAACATGGAAAAAACAATTGCTAGAGATATATCAGGAAATGATAAACAAATAAACAATAACAATTACTAGGTTATTAAAATTGTAGTATCTTCGACGTTTGATCATCTCCATCACAAAGAACATGAAGTATGGATGCTCATAAACGCTAGCAGCTTGTTCAGGGAAACACATTTAAAAGCACTCAACGATGAAAATGTAAGTAGAACGATTCTTTAACCAGCACCAACTTCAATTTCATAAGCTACTAATAATTTGTTGTATATTTCCTGAAAGCACTCGCAAAATGACTGAACAAAAAAAGATTGTGCAAAATTTGGTTAACTTGATAGATTTGCTTTAAGACGAACTTGTAAGAGTTAATGTAAAAATGCAAAAAAACAAACTAAGACCATATTGCTGCTGCAGCAAGTATGACAACAGGATTAAACATGGTATCAAAATGTATTATTTTATCTCTTTACCTAAGATATCTTAACGATACGAACGTCTTATTTACCATCCCGTTTTGTTTTTTTGATCCCATTGAACATCCATGAACAAACATATTATACATATTTGATGGAAATTTTGATTGGAAAGAGAATAAATGCTAACCGCTGCAGATGCCTGTTCCGTTAGTTCGACTACTCTTCCACCTAACGTGCTTAATCCAAGGAAACCCTTTTGTTTCTTCCGTAAATCAATTATAATCGTTTTGCCCGAAAGTGTTGGTCGATTCATTTCCGTGTATAAAATTTGCCATTCAATATTCCAGGAACCAACCATATCACTTTTTTTTACATTCATTACACGTCTGCAATCATTTCTCTGCAGTGCATGTAAAATTCAACTTAACTATCAAATTGAAAATCACTGGCCAAAAAGTACAACTCTTTGTCCAATGACTCACTCACTGCTATTTGGCTGTCCGCTATCCCGAGTCCAAAAATTTTTTGTCGTAATGAAATATATATTACTGAACACTTCAAAAACTGTTAGCTCAGCATCCCTAATTCTATTATTGAGTCATATTTTTTGCAAATAATAATTACATTGCTGATGAACTTTAGCTAATCGGACAGTTTAAAATCCCAACCTATCTGTGATAATAAATAGGCTCTTTTCAGAAACTGGTGCATGCGCCAAGAAATAATCAGAGTCGGCTACGGAACCATTATCAGCTTCCTGAACATTCAAAATACATGCTCTAATGACGTAAAGACTTTAAGTAGTTTTCTGAGGCAAAATCACTTCGCAAAAAGCATAATTTGCGAAACGTTGTCCAGTTATTGACAGTTCTTCCTTAATGCAGTCAATTAAGAGGAAAATTCACTGGCTTCGTTGCATATTTACAATACTTGACAGGGTTGTCGACCGTTAATATTATTCTGACTTTATACGTTAACTCGACTATTCTTTAAACCAACGAGCCCATCCTTATAAAAAGCACGATATAAACAAGAGACATAGTTTGCTCAGGGTAAGTACATTGGATGAAAACATGATTGAGCTGACATATATAATTTTCATAATCGCTATAAAACAACTTTAAAATAATACTCATTATAAAGAAGTATCGGCAAGCAGAAACAATCATGTACATTAAGATTTAGGTATCTAATGATAATGAATAATTGGAATTCAGAGGAAATAAACTCCATCTTAAGCTTACACGAAATATTTGAGCTCCTATAGCGGTTTTTTGGCTGTATGGTCGTACGATGTTATCCGAAAATATAACTCGTAATGGACGCAGTGGCTTCATTTCATCAGTTCCAACTGTCGCACTGAAATTTTAAATTTTAAAATATGATATATTTATGACCTATCATAGTTGTGTGTCCTTCAACTCACTAATTCAAAGGAACAAGAAAACACCACAAAAATACCAGAAATGCACTAAAAAGGGCAAATTTTTAGTGATATGTATTAACGATTAATTTACGCTAGAAATTGCGTACTGCACTACAGCAATACAGAGCCAAACAACTCATTAAAAGACAGCATTCAGAAAATGAAAAAAACTAACGATCTCACAGCATCTAAAGTACTACTAGCAAAATCAACCGCTCCAGATAAAGGGCGTGTAACTACGCCAACCAAACCGAGACTAAGTCCTTTCGCAAAACCGCCAGCTCCTCCAGCACGAGCGCCTAAAATTAATTATGGAACAAGACAAATTACTTTGTTAATTGAAGATCCAAATAATGTAACTTCAGAATCCTTTAACAAATTTCGATACAATTAGATTTCTGGAAATGAGCTTTACTTTAATCAAAAAAGTGTGAATGAAGAAAAAAACTGCACATTTCACCGCGAATGCTATTAGGCATTCTGTAAGCACAATGAAAAACACCTGCAAGCGGTTTGGCGACAACACCAGCGATGCCATCATAAAAACCTTGGCCAACACCTTTAGCACCGCGAACCACACCTTCACCGAATGTTTTCGGACGACGGTTCATCATCTGCTGCCGCTTACGCTGATATTCTTCATCAAGAGTTAATGCAGCTACACCCTAAAAGTTCTCATTTTTATGTTCAAATAAAACAAATCTAATCATTCCATCTCGAAATTCGCTCTTCCTGTCAGTAAAAGCCAAGTTTCACATATAAAACTTATTGACTGAACTTCCTTATTTTATAATTTTAAATATAGTATTTTGCAAAGAGTTTTTTCAGAGTCCATCCATAATCATAAAGTCCTATACTTATTTAAAATATTTGACGCTACAGACTAAATTAAATTTTCGAATTTCTGGCTCAAACAAAGAATGTCACATACTAAAATCTTCATAAGAGCAAATACGAAATGAAGGTATACTTTTCCTAGAGTACCAGCGATTCTCGAAACTGCTCCAGCTCCGCCCCCAACTGTTGCACCAACAAGACCTTTAACACCCAAAGCGACCCCTTCAGCGAATTCTTCTGGTCCTTGAACAGCTCCCTAAAGCATTTCTTCTTGTACGTGAATAAATATGATGAGTCCCTTTTCTTCTTACAATTAATACAAATGATAAAAACCCTAAAATAACTTTTTCAAAAACCTTAAGACAAAATGATCATTTTGATTTTTCTCTAATTTCTTGGAATGAATTCCCCATCCACCAATATAGAATCCTACTTCCTTTAGCAGGAACCGGTGTACTTTATCCACCACTCCCGTTTTTCATTGGAAGCTTTTTGAATTCGTAAAAGAATAAGTTTTTAAAACGAAAAGCAATAGATATATCTAATATTAGGAAGTAGAGTTGTCTGATTAGGAAATGCGATACGCAAAGTTTCCACTATAAAATTAAAATCTAAGAATTCCATGAAAATCTGCATTCAGACACTTAGAACAATGGAATGTATAAACAAATCATAAAAAACAAGATAACCTGGAATGGTTGATAAAAGAAGTCCTGCACTCCAGACGAAAGGTCACGAACAAGTCCAAACGGATTTCCCAGAATATCGAGACCAAGAACAAGTACATAAAGCTGCTTGATGATTTGCGATGTGTAGTGTCCTGTTATTTCGCTTTGAAGTTGAGAGGTTGTATAGAAAGCATACTTTCGTTCAAAGAAAGCTAATCTATAAGAAAAGTTTATTGAAGACAGAATTAAGCATCACAACTTTCAATTATTTATCTAGAAATTAATATAGACAAGAAACATAATCAAACGGTTGCGCAGGTTTCACGTTCTCCCTCTGTTAACTATTTCGATTTATGACAATGACAACCTTTGTATATAGATAACCGCTCATCCACCACTGTAGAATCCCACAGACTCACATAAGTATTACCAATAATAGCCAAGCTATTTTTTATATTTATTGCAGACTTCGATTTCATGCATCAAAATCAATGTTTGTTATAACCAAAATAAACACTCAAAGAAATGCATATAAAAAAGAAAAATTAATAGGAGCCTGGACACATCCAAAAAACCAAAAATTCTAAAACCACCATACTTAAAAACCACATCTTGAATCTCCGTCACTGTTACACCAATACTCTTCAAGAAGACATTGATAAATTCGGACTGAACTGGAAGCTGAACGGCTTCTTTTGACTTCAAAGTTTTATCCCTCAATTGCTTACCACCAGAACTGCCACCTTGTGAAAATGACAAATGTATCTGCAAAAACTGCACTAAATACTATTATCTGAAACAAGATCACACTTTTTCAATTAAGAAAACATAAAATATCCTAAAACTTTATGAAAAGACTGTATGCACCATTAACGGAGAAATATGCAAGTTTTCATAATAAGCTGCTTGTTGAGAAGCCGTCGTCATTCCAGCAATTACCTCTAATTGATTTTTCGTCATTTCAAAGTCTTTCACAAAAGCTTCTTTCTGTAAAGAAGGAACAATTCATGAAATCAGTATATTGCGTGATCCCATTTCACTTCTCAAACACTACTACTGCAATAAAATTTATTTTATCATTATACTACGTAATATTTTTTAATGAAAAGAAATCTTCAAGCATGTTTTTTAAAGAAAATATTCTTTATGGGAATCCAAGAAAATATGATCACTTTTTTGTACATAATTAAAGAGTAGAAACAGCCACGAAAACACGAACTTTTGACATTTTATTGTACATGACAACTACGATAGCGAAATAAAAAGACAACAGGGATCCATCTATAGCGGGCTTTGTGAAAAAAAAAAATTATAACCGTATATGGTTTACTATCAGCTTGAGAGGATATCAGTTCCAGCATTGCGTTCACGAAGCCTTGGTCAACTTGCACTGAGAATTCCTGCACCAAAAGATGAAGGTATTTTATTTGAGCAATCCTGCTGTGTTCTGATTCTCGTCCTATGTAGCTCAATTCGCAAAAAGATTTTGGCGCTGAAAAGAAATAAAATTTACTAATACGGTCTCAGTAAAATAATATTACCTGTCTATATAATTAAAATAAAATACTGAAGAATAGCATAAATCTTTCTACTCAGAATAATAATCAGTTGTATTAATTACAAATCACTTTTTGATAATGTAAAAATAGTTTCCATTACCGCTGTCTTGAACAACAGATCTTGGTGGTGGCACAACTGAGAGTATGCACGGAAATACGCATGCCGGTAACTGATTGTCGATCTGTAGATGATTCACCTGAAAAAAAATAAATAAAACCAATGATAAAATAATGATAAAACTTGGAAATACTTCAATACATATTCTTTTTTGAATTCTTTCATAAAATTCAGTAATGCATAAGGTTAAGAAGGTGTTATGAATGGGATATAAGTTCAGTATTAAAGAAAGCAAGATCTACTGGTAAACATGTAATATGAGGGCATGGAAACATCTAGAGTGCATGAAATGAAGCCAAACATCTTTTGTTCGTTGAGATAATTGACAAAATTTATATTATGACATTGAACTAACTAACAGTTACAGTTGATTAAAACATTATGACTTCATATATGTTGAAAATCAAATAAGCAGATAAAAGACACAGGATAAAGGAGAATATATGAATAAGGGATGTAAAAAAAGCATACCTTTATGTGAAATTGCGACTGGTGAGGGGTTTGCCTGTACTGCATCCAAAGTCCAATTTGAAATTGTCGCCGGATGTCAATCTGAAAATCCCCTTAATTAAAATAGACAGTTTTGAAATAATATAAATTTTGTAAATAAAGAACAAATATTACATTCAAATTAAATAGCCTATAGCTTCAAATGTATCAAAGAATACCCAGTCTTTTTGTTTTTTTAATTTCATATGGTTGAAGTCAAACTCTAATTTGTCAACTATCACTGTTTCTTCTGAGTGATCTGGAAGCCATGCTTGATACGCGTGCTCGACCTTTTCCATCTGTTTAATTGTGAATGGTCTAGAAACAAGCAATAATTATACTACAGACCTAAACTAAGTATTAAAAACAAATATTTTTTCTCGCTTTGCATATTTATATAATCAACTGAACCGTTATCATGAAAACAGTTTGGTTCCATTATTTAATGTGTTCCTTGCTGCTTAACATGAAATTATCGCTTTCTTAAAAATTTGTAACTTGTCACCTGATTAAACCATTGCTGCAAACACTTACATTACGAAAGTTTAATCTTTTAAACAGAAGGAATGCATAAAAATATGTGAAATGAACTAGCATTATTGTATACCTACATTCCATTTCATAATACAATTTTCGACATGAGTATGATGCTATCTCTAAATTAAACCATATCAAAAATAATGGAAAGAGTGCAGTCTTTCTTTTCAAATTTTCTAAAACTCTTGAAAGAAACAAACTTGAATCGAGTTTTGACGAACTGCTCCCAAATAATAGCCGATGATGCAATACACATATATGCAATTTCTTCAGTTTTGAAATTATCCACTATCGAAATGCCAATACCTTGCAAAGATATTTCGACAGACAGTGTAGGAAGTTCAATTTCGTAAGCTTCGTGTGCAGCGGTCATTACTGCTAGATTATCCGTGAACAGATACACACGTTGACGTCCATTCAAAAATGACACCTATACAAAAACATGTTCAAAAAGCTTTAAATCCATAAAAAAAATTAAAATAACTGTTCGGTATCAAGAAGGAAATTCGCAAGAAGGAGATAATGTATATAGACAGAAATGCAAGAAATACTGAAAGAGCACAAAACAGTATACTTCCGCTCTAATACATTCAATGCCAAAAAAGTTGTAGAGATTTCTTTTGTCTGTATTTCAGAACCGAATAAGCAACTATACGACCGTGGTTATATTTAATTTTCTATCTACATGTGCTAAATAAAATTTAGCAAAAGAAATAAAAAATTTTCATTCAAATTTCGGTAAAGATTTAAAGACTCAAATGCACTTACCCAGTAATAATGACTAGAATCTGACTTAGATGGTCGGTAATCTTCAAATGCATTTCGAATTAAATCATCTGAATGGGTAGCATCACCACATTTCCATTCTAATTCACGACCACGAATCACATCTGTCCATGCAAATGCACAGCTCTCCCATGGACCTAATATCTTCTTTGACCGAGCACCTACATTTAGAATTAGAATTTCTGGTACAAAAAAGGACGAAAAGATTTCACCTTAAAACTACCAAGATGGAACCAAAAATGGAAGGGAAAGAAATGTAAGAAACATATAAATTGGTTACCTTTCTGACTAAATTCCACTGGTTTTTTTGTTGCATTCATTATGATAGCGGGAGCCATACCCGGTTCAAATGATTCAAGTTTGATAATCGAAGACGATTCGCAGACTGTGGCAGTTACATATACACCAAGATACTATAACTTAATATAGCAGGAGAAAAAAAAAAATCTAAAAACATGTTGAAGCGTATAATGATGATTTGTGAAATACATAGATACACTTTTTCAAGTAAACAGTGACCAATGTCTTTGTAGTTACAGTACTCATCATACAACCTCAGGTATTTTTTCTTAACTAGGAAAAACAAAGTTACATCGTTGTCGATATGACAGAATCCTTCAAAACTTTCAGTGATTGGAAATAGTATTGACTCTTCCGCCGTACCACTATATCTGACAATAGCATATTTCCGATTTTCTTTTTGTGACGGCCAGAAACCGATACACTGCAAAAATTTAACAATTAAAGAATCTCATAAAATAAATCTGGGAGAAACGAACTTATACAGTGGAATGCATTCGTGATGAAAAAAATGAGGAAAGGCTTGAAATTTGTTAAATGAATCAATTATTCAAATAATATAGAACGGTTATAAGAACAGGCTTTTTTTAACAATAATGAAATAAACTTACTGCTTGAGGCGTAATCAGGACCCAGTTTTGCGCTCCAAATTCTCTTATTTCCAATGGAAACTGGCTTTCATTGTGAAGCAAATAGAAGGGCAAGAATGTGATGATTTTCGTTAAACCAGATTGACACATGCTTATTTGCAATGAAATATTCTGCTCACTATTATTTTCATCTCTACAACTGATCCGTCCCGCATTTCCAACCGCATCTAGTGGAAATTCATTGCTCCAGTAGTTTCCAAACAATGATAATCTTGCCTAGAAAAATTCAGTAAGTAAAGGGACTGACAAGTCATACTCAAATCCAAATAACCTCCGTATTTATAAACAAATAAGAATTTAACGCAATTCACATTTTGTTAGAAGATGGTAACGACTACCAGAAAGAATTAAATTGGATAAGCACTCGTTTTTCTTTCCAACTCCTTTCTTGGGAAAATATATTTTGCTGAGTACGTGAGGAATATTTTAATAAAAATAATGAGGAATGTTTCAATAAAATTAGTATAAAAACTTTCGACGTAATGGAAAACCGGAAAAATTAATTAGCAATATTTAAGTAAATTAATCAATAATACTAAGATGCAAAGTTGATAAGCTATTCCTTTAACATGTGTAAGACCAAGTTACAAAAACTGCTTAATGAGAAGACCTACGTTTCCAGCACAATTTTCAAAAAAGAAAATGATGCAAACCGATCCCATGATGGAATACGGCTGAATCGGATTCTACTTTTAAGAGGTAACTGGAATTACCCCAATAATATGAAAAAAGTGTATTGGATAATTCGTCTTATGGACATATGAACCTATAGATAACAATTTCTCATATTAAAAAGATGTATAAATCAAAGTTTTAGCTTTTTTATTTCTTTCAAAGAAGAGTCATTTGAGATTTCTTAAAACACTGCATTATGAGAGAGCAAACATTTCAAAATTTTAAAGGAATAATCACCTTTTTTTTGGATAAAAAATCCTTGGCATTTAGTGGAAGCAAAACTGGTTCGTTCAACGGTTCCTGCATTATTGCATCGTAATACTATAAAAATGAATGCAAATCATTCACTGATAATTGGAAAAACTGAAAGAAGAGTTAAATTTATGATAGATCAACAGTTCATCAACCGTCATAGTTAATAAGATCATTCAATGTCGTGATAAACAAGTGCTTGGTTGTCAGGCAAGATTTCAAATAGTTTCAAAATCATCCCATTTTCAATAAAGTCTAAACATCGTATATTAAATCAAAATATTGAACCCTGGAAAAAATTCACTGCAAAAATAAAGATTATAGATTGGTAAAAGAAGCAGCTGACGCATAATGTCTTTAGACAGCATGAACCAAACCAGCATTATGGATATTTGGAAGTGAAATCATGAATGAAAAAGTCTCTATCCATTCCCCTTTCATTCCAATTCTCCTACATACCACTAAACTTGCTCAGTTTACGGAGTGAGATTGGAGGTAAAATGATTTCCTTATTTCAAAAATGAGTCTCTGACTTCGATACCCATCAACCTTATCTTAAATATTAACTTTTGCTGAAAAAAGAAACCTTTCAGTGAAATCGTCCAGTGAGTCAGAAGCCATGATGTAAAACTCATAAATCTATTTTTGAATGATTCCACTATACAATTAAAGTTAAAACAAAGTACATGGTAAATTCATTAGGATAAAAAGTCTAGAGAAAATCACATATTACAGCAGAAGAAATAAAGAGCAAATTTTTGTACCTGGCCTTCCATTCCTCCTTTCTGACACGGCACGCATTTTGTAGTTTTTTCAATTATACCTTCACTGCTTTCCTGAATAGGACTAGTTGTCTCACTGATGAAATTGTAACAAAAAACCAAAACAAAAATAGTAGATATATACATTTAGCAAACACGCTTGTAACAACGAAAGCTTCAAATATAGAAGACCACGCGTTACTGTGGCTTGAATCTATTTTTTATAAAACAGAAAAACGAAATGGAGATACCGTAAAGCAGAACGAATTTAAATCATTACCCTAAATCTCACAGTTCTTCCTGTGTTATTAACAAACCAATAAGGTGCATATATTTCAGCATCAAGTTTACGATGAACAACTGTCCAATGAACGCCAAGATTCTACAACATAAATTAAGATGTTTTTTATTCAAATCCATCAAATTAAAACTTGATCTAGCACAATTCGGATGGCACTGCCTATGTCTTCAAACGTTCTAAAAGAAACCATCTACGCATTCATAAAATTATATTTACCAGAATTTTGTCATTGGATGTAAGTGTGATGACCATTAAATCCTGGTGTTCCACAGGGAAAGGCATTTCTGTCACATAGAGATCCCCACGATAATCCATCTTAAACATAATAATCGATATTAGCAACATATTAAAAGCTCGTGGACAAATACTTTGGATACGTAAAAGTGTAAAACTTCGAACATGATCAAGCATTTTATATAAAAGAGATTTTTATGATACTAAAGATACTTCGAAATTAAGATTCTGTCCTGGAATAACGTTTAGTGAGACTTCTTCGCCACCAGCTAACTCCTTCTGCATCTAAAATCGACATAGTGTTGATTTCAATTATTATGCAGCTATTCAACTTCCAATTCTTAAATGGACCGATTCAAATTTTTTTGTACGTTTAAGGTATTGTTTTGATACTAATGCAATAAGCATAGATATGAGTTATCTTTCTATTGCAATTAACTGTTAAGAGTATACAGAAAACTGAAATAATTCAACACAGCTCACCGGAGAAGTAAGTCGTAGAGGAAATGGTAAGAAGTTATGCAACGTGAGAGGTGAAAAGATGTGCACTACATAACTATTGTCATCTAAATTTCGGCTTCTTTCTGCTTTCAATGGTACTTCTTCAACAATCAAAGCTATGAATAAGCCTTGCTTCATATCTTCTGATAGATCGCATCGCACTATGTATCGCGCCTTATCTTCAAACTTATTCCAGCAAACAGATTCATTGCTCATCTCATAGCTGAAATGATAAGATTCTCACAGATCAATAGTGCCAAGAAAAATACAAAAATAGGGATAGAGAAACCAACGCATCATCTTGAGAAGGTCTGATAAACAATTCGCCAGTAGCTGTGTACAATAACGGTAGAGCAATATCAAGTGGTTCACCACTTGTTTCTGCGATACCACAGAAATCGAGCCTTCCGTCATGCATTGAATGAATTTCGAATGGCATGTCCAAGTGATTCACGAACTACAGTTAAAAACACACATCTGCGACAGTAGTTCTTAGTATTTTTTAAAATAAAAAATAGTTTAAAAATCACAAAAATACATAGGAATTATTAACCGCTAATATAATCCCCCGAAAGAAATACGTGCATCGAGCAGGATTGTAAACTCTAAAATCTGTTCTAAGGTATCAGTTGTAGCCATAAGATTTTCTTAGTCGAGTAGTGTTTTTTTATTCGTACCTGCACTGTAGAATGAAGGTAAATAAGTCGTCGCATATTTTCCACTTTTGTTTCTACAACCACTTTCCACTGTTTTCCACTATCACTTTTCATTGGGAGTTCAAAAGTTCTCGATTCAGATCTCATTATATTTACCTATATTTCAAAAAATCAATAAAAAATAGGAAAAAAATGTATATGGTCATACACAAAACTAACTTCGTCATAACGGTAATCAGGAGATGCATGATGAAAGAAAATAAGGCAATTTGTACGAAAATTTACATATCTCTCTGCATCTATTTCATCAAAAATGACGCGCAGCTCCGCTTTTTTTGTAGTCTGGCTCTGTGTGAGGCCTATCTTTTCATTGGGATCAACTGGAACATTTAAATCAACAAAAGTACATGACGTTGCATCAAGCGGTTGTCCATCAGCGCTGATCTAGAAATTATTTCAAAATGAAAGAATAAAAAACAAAATGGCGAAAAACGAATCAAAAAGTATTTCCCGTGGAAAGAACGTAAACATATTTTCTTATTCATAACATAACTCAACTTTTAATATCCGTTGTCAAAAGTTATAATGAATACGGAAATGAAGATGGATTTACATCAATAGAAAATATGAGAGAAACTGAATTTGATAAGTGGAAAAGTTCTATGATCAAGTGATAACTTACAGTTAATGTTTCTGTGTTACCAACTTTGATCGAAATGCCAGCACCGTTAAATACTAAATATTTACTACTGCCTGGGAAAGTTCGTTCCATAGATGGTGAAATCAGTTTCGCAGCTCTCTCGAAAGAATCCATAAGATGATAAGACAATAAAATCAGCGATTTTGTTATTGTTATGTTCAGCAATTCTGATGCTTTCACATTAATCGTTCTTTGAGGTAATTGAAGCGCACCATTTGTTGACAACTCATTTTCACTATGAGTTCGCAACTGCAAAGATTATATTTCATAATATGCCATCCTCCCTCATAAGATATAAGCTTAATATCATCTATTTTTCTTTATAACACGGATTATCGAAACTTTTCCGAGAATAGGGAAAGTTTTTATATGTAAGAGAGCAGTATTTCCATGTAAATTTTTTCCATATCTTCACAGATTTCAACGAGCTTTTCTTTGACTTCTCAGGAAGCCATAATATATTTGTACTGAACAGGAAATAATATAGTTAATCAGATATCTAAAGAAACGAACACAATTTTTTGAATTAATCAATTAAGAATGATTCAAGGCACAAAATAAAATCAACAGGAAATAAGATCTATGGTTTCTTACTTCAGCTTTCAAAAGCCAGCTCCTCCAGATATTGTCGCCCACTTCTACAGGTTCGACTATGGGTTCCCACACGCAAAATGTTTCATTATAATATGAAATCTAAAATGTATCGTAATAAGACCTAGTAAAATAAGAATTACAAAGGAGAAAAAAATTAACAAAATATTTCAAATGAAGCAGCTTATATTAAATTCGTGATATGCTAAATTTGCAATAAAAGAAAGAAGAATAAATTAAATCAAATAAATTAAAGTGATACAATTACCTGAAATTGCACATCAGCATCAATAGCCAATAACATACTCCAGTGCGATACAGTAATCATCATCGAACTTTCTAAAAGTACCATTGGTACTGTTCTGTTGCCCACACCGGCTTCCAAAGTGACGATAAGCGATTCCATTGTAATAGTTCCCTGTAAAAGTTCGGTATCGTCGAAGAAATTAAAACAGTAAAGAAATAAACAATAAACTGGAGATGGAGATGCACTTTGATTAATGTATGTCACAGCTTCGTCATTTTGCTGTCTCTTTCTTATTATTATATCCTTTCATTTCTTCGTTTTTATTACTGAATAATCCCGTAAAAAATACCATTCCCTGCAGACTCCCTTAAAAAACAAAAATGTTTGAGTTACAATAACCAAAATTACCTGTTGTTCATGACTGACAGTACCAGCAACATCTTCTGCATATTCAAAATCATCTTGTTTTTCCTCTACCACATTGAACCACCAGTGCTTATTCCTGTCAATTTTACGTTTTTCCCAATAATTCGGGTACTTCTTAAGCACTGCCTTCCGCGCAGTAAACGAATCTTCCTGAAAATTTCTCTTTCAAAGAAAAGGAGAATGAATAGCACATATGATACTTACTTTATTGATATCGATATGAAATTTCAGGTAATTTTATCACTCGTTTATTTGCTTTGCATTCTGCTTCTATTCAAATGCCAAGATTCGAATTACTGCATCTTTTAAGAAAGAATTTTCACTGTAATTTTAAACGAAAAATGGAACTCCTCGAAGAACTCACCTTAGCATTAGCTGCTGATAAAAAATTCGAAGAAACAGTACTTAGCAAACGGATTATGGCGGGAGATATTTTCAGATATAATTGTCCAATATTTATTACAAAATTCTCAGACATCGTTTTTTGTTCTGCTTTTAATTGAATATCAATATCCGTACGTTTTAATACCTAAATATTGGAAATAGCAAAAATGCAGGAATAGCTTCGCTTTTCGTCTTAAATGTGATTAAAATTTTCCAAAAAGCGAGTTGAAAAAGGTACGAGATCATTAAAAAGATGTATGAATTCTCCTTTTGGTAATGTTACAAAGTTTCTCACATTACCTGGTAAGGATTTTGATCACGCTTCGATTCCAAAGAATAAGTGCTGATGATCTGCAAATTCTTGATCCCACCAACCATAACCTGTTTTTCACTGTCCTAAAAATAATTCAAAGTCTTTTATATACTACATAAAAACGACATTTAAAGTTATAATTTTCTCTCCATCTTGAGTCCAATTAACATCATAATATTTCTGATGATTGAGCCAACTTCAGATTCTTAGATATCCTCTCCCCAATTTACGAATGGCAGATTTTCATGTTAGTGAATGGGAGTAAGATTTTACATGACTTCAGTTGAATCAAACGAATTTGTCTTACCGGATTTGCTTTGAGATCAACGTTAAATGACAGAATTAGTGCTTGGGAGTTTTCAGGACTGACAGTGTCATCAACCAGAATAATTTCTGCTTCATTCATTATACAGTTCATTGTCACCGTGCCTATAAGCAGTAAATCATAACCTTCAATTTCCATTTTAAAAAGCAAAATGAATGATCATTCTAATATAACCTCTGAAGTAAGTTTGATGTAATGCAACAAGTCTGGCAATTCATAATATCAACATTACTTAAACTTATCGAACGATAAGTCATGTTTTGAATCTGCTAACTTTGATTTTTTTAACAGACAGAAGGTCCTGAAAGAGAGGTAGTCTATTAAATTTCAAAACTAATTTTTCAATGTAAACTAACCTTTTGATGGAATCGCTTCCACTTTTTCCTTATTCTGTGCAATATTTGGAATATTCACTTTTTCAGCTTCTCTTGTTAACTCCTCAGGTGTTTTCTTTATCGTAAAAAAGTTCATCAGTGCTCCCAGAAACTCTGGGTAAAGGCAGAGGAAAAAAGCAGACGATGAGAAAGTAACTGAAAAACATGTTTATTTAATATCAGAATCAACGACGACAACATAAAAATTCTCAAAACCTTTTAATTTTAATTTTACTTCTTTTTCATTTTGGAACAATACTAACTTTTATAATCCAATACAGACTAAGCTGTGAATGAGAACGTTTCCGTTTTCCCTTATTTTATGCAATGTACCCGATTGAAACAATACAAAAAGAATACTGTCTGTCTGTTTTTAATAATATATATGTATTAAATTAACCACAATGAAAAATATAAAACAAACTAACTAATTTTGTCTCCTAATACGGTAGTTTGGTAACGAGCAGCGACAAACTCCTTGTGAATTTTTCCGGTGCTATCAGGCTGTAAATTACCAAAACGATAGAAATATTTCCGAAGTTTTTTATGCAATTTGTTTGTTCTCGGTTGTTGTGATTGAAAAACAAAAAAAGCGATAGATAGATGTGATTTAAAAAACTCATAATGTGCTTCATAGATTAATCACAATAGACTTCGCTGTTTTATTTGTTTCTTTAAAAAATATATAATTCGAACAATCTTCTTAGAATTCCAAAATCAGAAGCTACACTTTAGAAAAAAAAAAATGTTCCAAAATCTCGACTGCTAATTAGTCATGTGTCACTGCAAAACTTATTTTACCTTTTTATCCAATAATCGTCGCGTTTTGTTTTTTTCGCTTCTTTCATCATCCATGACAAATACCTCCAAGTTGACAGCAATGTCCAATTCACCATTTTCGGCTATCGAACCACTCAATTTAATTTTTTTCATTCTCACTGCTGCAAAACCCGCTGTCGCCTTACGAGCAATTTCACCTTTTGAATCTTCCTAAATGGTAATAATAAATTACTCGATTTCACTACATGCATTTACTAGACCAAATTGCCGGGAAACCCGAAATTTTGTAATATGAAATTATTCACATGAACAGAGAATTTGTATCACCAACATTTAGAATAAGGAAATTGCTCCTCACAATTTTTTGTTAATGTTAAATTTAATTTCTTGTCACATGATATTCTTTATTTTCTCTGCTAAAATGTTATTGGTAGTTATTGCTTTATAATATTTCCCCGCCATTAGCTGTTGTCTGTCTTTTTCATAACAACAAATGTAGTTAACGAATAATCAAACGATCTCCTTTTTTCCCATCGTTTCTTTCTTCTCTATCATACATCAAATTGTCTATTATCGATTTATCCCATTATATCTCATGAACCGTGCGACCTTTCATAAACTTTCTACACATTTATACACTATATATCTAAATATTGTCTTGGTACCGCTGAAAAAAAACCTTGGACATTATACATACTCAGATGAACTGCAACTCTCCCCAAAAAAGACGTATGTGCCCTTCTTTCAGAAAAAGCGACTCGCCTAAATCCCCACAATCAGTCGTTAGGAATCGGAGTATTCAACACCGTTTATTGTCACTATTTCCAATCTACTTTCAAATAAACGTATTCAATTATAATTGTCGTGGAATAATAATCTGCTCTCCCGAACCAAAAAAGAATTTTTCACGAAATAAACTAAATCTGAGTTTGGTACGCTGTCGGAAATATCTTCAATGAGGCAAATCAACAAAAAAAGAAATCTTCACTATTATTAAGAAAGAAACTGCAGCGTATCAAACTCATCTAAAAAGAAATTTCCGTAAGTACAGACCAAATTTGAAGAACCGCGATATAAGAGTGCAGCAATTTCATCCAGTTTGAAACTGAAAACAAGAGATTTCGCCTTGGAATCACTCAATGGATTCCCATTATTTTCTGATGCAGCTTTTTCAGTACATTCTTGTCTTCTCTCAGTAACATTTCTTTCTCGCCGGATTGGAGGATTTACAGATGGTGATGGCTCCGATGATAACTCGCTTCCTTCCGCCAAGTTGCCACTGAGTGTTTTCAAGATTGTTGCATAATCTTCTTCTGTCATGCCCATCTACAATTCAGGACTATAAAATCTATGATAATGAGAAATGACCGCTTTTTGCGTTATGGAAGACATTACGCATAAATCTATAACAAAAGATACAGCTTCTTTACCATAAGGATAGAACTGATCATTAGACACTTCGTAAGAAATCATTAGGATCGGTTTTTTATCTAATAACTTTAAAGAAAAACAACAAGAACATTAAAAATTACCAGAAATATTGATTCTGATGTCCCGCTATCAATAACGATTCCAAAGACGGAAATTCAAACAAATCAACAAAAACATGAATAATTTCGATATGCTTTCTGGTCAGCAAAAATTATTACCTCGATAATAGGCAAGTGAGCATCAACGAGCATCTGTGGAGCTGTTTTGTACCATTCAAAGGACAAATTCCGGTAAACTAATAGTGAAAATGTGATTGGCTTTAAAATCTGACACGTGGATAAGATTTGTATATCTTCTTCCGAAAGAAGTGAGCTAAAACGTATCACAACAACTAAAAGAAAACAAAAGCTGTGCCCAGTATTTTAGAATATTTCTTATTAAACAACAAAAAAATCAATAAAGCATCAAATACTGAATTTTGGCTCAGTTTATTTGCTTCAGACTTAAAACTTCCATGATTCGGTATTTTCTTCAAAAATCTATTTTTTTCAAAACCATGCCTTCATGCTCCTCTTGCACTACAGACTTTTTAGTTTCCTATTAACTTATGAGAAATTCTACATTGCATCTTTAGACAAAAGAAAGAATTCAAGCCTACATGCCAAAGCAGACATCAGTTAAATTAATTTGCATCGAATCAATAATTGCTCTCCGCTCATTCTGTGCCGCTGAGACTGAATTAATAGCAGTAAGCTTCCCTAAAAAATTTCTGTTTAGAAATATGTGCATTGTAAATCTCACTAATCAGCACATGCATCTATTCAAGTTGAATTTTCTAACGCTTGGGTGCTGCGAATAAAAATTTTGGGTAGTAAAATAATGCTCAAAAATATACTTATATATTTGGCCACTATATATTTATATATTTGGCAAATTACAGTGAATTTTGTTTAGCCGTACCAAAATCAATAAAAAGAGCATTCAATGACATAGAGCTCTTTGGCACCAAAATTGTTGGTGCCGCAAGTTCGATATCCAAACCAATCCTCAAAGGCGACTCTTCCATAAGATGTTTAATTTTTTGTGCAGCCTGTGATGCCTTTTCAGATGCATATGATTGCGCCTGTGCTGCAACTTGTGCAGCCTCAGCTTGGAATGGAGCAGCAAAACGCTGAAATCATATGTAAATCAATTAACAATGGTATTATGAAAAAGCCTTTGTACAATTAAAAGTATCAAAAATGCTGACATTCAAAAAAAAGAATGATGAGCTGTGCTTTTAGTAGTTTTCATTAGAAGTTAAAAAATAGCTTGCAACAGAAATCGAATCAAAAGAAAATGCCATAATGTTACTATGAAAAATGTAGTCTATCAGATTTTATCCTAACAATTTGTGATCTACAAAACTTTATTCAAATAGGCAGATAACTTACCTTCATTCTTTCAAGCCAAAGGAAAAGAAGCACGAAACGAATATGAGCGAAATGGCCCTTAATAAAAAAATCGAGATCGGAAGGTTGCATCTGTTTCTTCTCAGCCATGGTACGATTGTACTGTTTGAAACTAAATGATAACATCTCTTTGTCTTCTTCACAAAGTGCCAGCAGATGTTTGTGGATTGTTGTTCCAGTCCGGTCTTCCATTGATATTGTTTTGACTCCACCTTCCATTTCCATTGTTCTCTGCATTTTCTAGTGATTTACTCTAGCAATATGAGTAGTAGAAAAAAATTCAATGCTATATTATACTAAAATTAAAAAAGAACCTACTAAATTAAATGTCATCTCCCTTCATTGGAAAGACACTTAAGCAATATCAAGCAAAATGCAAATATTATCTTAAATGCTGGTTGAACGATGCGGTTTTTTAATATAAAAATCCCTTACTGGCTGAACAAATTCTACAACAAACCACACGCATTGCTATAGCGACTTTCACAACATTGATACTCAGGGCTGTATCCAAGCATTTTGTTGAACCAACATAGACCGATAAAGCATCAAAAACAGCATTTACACGCATTTTGACAATGAAATCATTTCGTGTTTGTGCTAGTTCTCGTTCACGCCTTGTATGACTTAACTTTAACGATTCGGAAGCAGAAGGTCTAGCCAAACTGTAAAATATTATTTTCAGCAAATTCAAACATCTTTTTTGCTCATCAGTACTAGATTTTTTGCGGTCACATAATTTTATGATTTTATTTAAAATTAATTTCTCAACCAACACTTATTTTTAAAGATGAAAACAGTGAGATATGTGGGAGGAGTATTTTTTCTTACAAGACCACAAATCAAGGTATGGTTTGCTACTTCAGTATCTGCAACATTTCTTTATTTTGTTATTATCATCTAATGCTTCAAAATATCAGTAAATTAGTGAAAGTAAGAAAGAGAAATAGATGATTCTCGAAACTATTGCTAACCTTTGTTGACTTGAAGAACGCGAAATTTTCTTTTCGTGGAGTGTTGGGATATCACCGGTAGATATTCCCGCATCACCTTTATCTCCTTGATCTTGTACCAGTTTGCCTTGACTTTGCAATTCAGCAATTTTTGCTTGAAGTGTTTCGAAATATTTTTTCAAGCTAATTATGGCATCCTTAAATGTAACTGTATTGAATCTTTAAAAAGACGACATAATAAACTTCTTTCAGCAATTCTAATCTTTTCATCGCTAACTCTAATCAAAAAATATGGTTATATCCATTGAATTTAAAAGATAAGTAAACCTGGTGAAGTGATATAATCATTGCTTTGAAAGAAATATCAATCGCTTGCTCCGTAGAATTGTACTCTGTTGCGAAAAACGGACTTTCCTTGTTTGCCTAAAAATGAAAATAAGATATTTATAAAATTCAAAAAAATATCAACTTAGTTTCGTAAGAGATACAAGTAAATGGTTAATTTTAGCCGCAAAAAATACAACCTGACTTGTGCTCTCTAATGAATATTGTATCCCACATGGGAAATAGTGCTCCATGCCTTTTCATTTTTATATTAATTCAATGGATTTAGATGGCGATAGGATAATACAAAATTCGGAAGCATGCAATATATGTAAGATGCTAACCTGTACATATTTGAATTGAAGCAAATTTTGGTCAGTGTTATGAGCGTTGTCAACAACAAATAATGTATTACGTCCAGGAATCAAACTTTTATACTGAGGTTGCTCGATTGTTAAATCACCCAAATAAGCCATTGCAACCATATCAAATGTACGCATCTGCAAACCACAACCCAGGGATCTAATTTGTACGGACAAAAATGCTGCATCCGGTGTGCCAATGACAATTTGGACCTGCAATAAAATGTCAATAAAAAAGGGAATGAATAATCTCCTGTTTTTACAACTTTTAATAATGTAACATTAATTTTCCAAACATTCGAATTTCTAGATTATCAATAAAAGATAATAAAGTAGAATAAACAGCAGTTAAAGAAATAAGTAATTTCATATACCCAGAAGTTGTGGAAACCAAGTCAGAAAAAGAGATCTGACCTGTTTCAATGTGAGATTAACTTCCAATTGGATTTGCTGCATATCAGTCTTCCTCTCTTTCTGCTTCTCCAGATTTTTGTTTTTTACTTTTAGATGTTCTTCAACTTCTGAGATTTCACTGGCCTCCATGATGGCGTGCATCGTTGCCAGGTTTCTAATTCTTGCTTTCTCAAATAATTTGCGTCATATATGAAATTTGAAATTTGTACAATACTACGCTAGATTTCTGATCAGAAGACGTAGAATAAAAAAAAAACGACCACGTAATATGAACATTCGTTACAATTATCCTTCTAAGCTCACAAAAATTATATAACATAAATTATGAGCATACTTCAGCTGGAGTAAAAGCTGTACTCAAAGCACTGATTTCCTTTTCGGGAGCAGGAGTCGGAATGCTCAATATCAATTTTACAAGTTCCAGTAAACGCTCATCTGAGATCGTTATGATAATATCAGGTAATTCACCCATTATCTTTATCCTGAACATGACTTTGTGGAAATGTTAAACCTCTCTCATGAATATCTGGTAGGGGAAAAAAATCAATAATCTTGAAACGTAACACGTATGATGCTTTAAACACAGTACAAAGTGAAGGATGCCGTTCACAGCTATCACATCGTTAGAAATAGCACTTTTATTAGAGATGGATGTGCTTTATAGTTTAGAAAAGACGCAGAATCTAATGCATAAAAATTTTTACTTGGGTAACTGTAGGTCATCGATGGATGATTTATGGAAAGCAATATTCATTCCAGTTGGCTGTAGTAAATGAAAACTCGATTTAGGTTGCAATTTGGCATCAATAGCACTTTGATAACAGTCCGAAAATATCAACTGTACACCGGTCAGTTTCACAGAAAACTTATCGTATGCACGACTAAATAACTTTGCCCGGCGCTCTGCTTCCTGCAAGTTAACGAATAACTGTGCTCGGAACTCTATTTTTGCAAATTAAAAATCACTGCAAAAGAAGCAGCCTTTTATGACAACCTCCTGAAACACCCATCTTTCCTCTTCTCAAACTTCTCCTAAAACCACTAACCCAGTATAACAGCAGCAAAACTACATTATAAAAATTGTACATTAAAATTCAAATTATAATCAAATCTTGAATAGTATGGTATAACAAAGGATCATTTCGATTCACTAGGATAATAAAGATTAAAGTATCACGAATATCAAACTATCCCATCATGTGAAAGAATGTATTGAAATAATGAAAAAATAACCAAGCAATCGTGCTCGTATCAAAAAGATATGAATACGAAACGTACTTGATTACCAACTATCAATGTTTCCATAGATGAGGCATCTTCCGTTGTAGTTATTGTAAGCAAACCAAGATCTGCAATTAAATTTCGCTTTTCCTTACTGAATATTCCATTTTCTGAGACTACAATTGTCAGAGGTGCAATTCGTATGTCAAGTACTAATTTTGTCCTAGTGTCAACAACATGAGCCAGCCCGGTAAGCGAACGTGCTTTAACATCTTCGTAACGCGCCATTGCTGCTGCCGTCAATCTAAAATAAGGCTCTTTACGATTTGACAAGTATTTTTTTAAATACAAAATAGCTTCTCTTTTTCAAATATAAAATACTCATAAGAACTCTGAAAAGCAGAGCTTTATTCAATAACACGATGTTATTATCTGATATATCTTTCCCTTTAGCCCTTTTATCATAAAAAGAATTCGCTATGTACAGGTACAAAAAGACAGTATGAACTAACTTCAATTATTTTTCTCTAATGTATCCTTTACCGCGGAAGAACTGAAAAGCTTACTGATTCAGTCGCACACTTTCAGGAGGTCTCAACGCTTCGATAGCAGTGTTAATAGCTGGTGCATGGTATTTCATGACAGTCGGTGCTAGAGCAATTTTGATATACTGGTCATATCCAGCTTTATCACGATCCAACGGATTAGTTTCGACAAGCACTGTCAACCATTCAACGGAATCATCCTGTACGAATAAAACCTGTTGTCCGCAGCCATCCATTGCCACCTTTTTTATGCCACTTTTAAGGCTGCAAAGTAAAACTGCTTTAATGGGAAACTACCAGATGTAATTTAATTCAAAATCCACTGCAAGCACAATTTCAGTTCATTTTTCTTTTGCTTTTTCCTTTTGAACAAGCTGTCGTTATTTATCTAATTACCAAATGAAAAACTGGGCAGTTTCTAATTTTATAGTAATTTCCATTTGCCTTTTTTTTCATTAAAATAAAACTTTTCATTAAAATATAGTCAATTTACCTACTTGATAGCTTGAGCTGATGCTCGATGTTCTATCTTAGTTGTAATTATGGAGAACTTTAATGTCAAAGCACCCTCGATTACAATCATAAGTACGTTCAAATTAGCAACGACAACATTCTCCACGAAGTGTTTCGGATAATCAGTTGAAGGAGTATTTTCCTTAAAAAAATGAGACATGTTTTCATTCTTTACACATGGAATCTTTAATTCAAGTTCTAAATAAAAAGCGAGTTACCAACCTGATAATCAATAGCATCAAACAATTTAGCTTTTTCTTCTACAGTTAAGGCTTCTTCAAACTTTGTCACAATATCACCTGATGACAGTGCTATACTTTCCGTCTTCTCTTTAACATCACTGCCACCACTCCACCTGAAATGCATAGAACGCTAAATTTACTCTTCATGCCAACTACCTAGTTTTTATTTTTTTTATTCCAAACTGAGCAATAGTTATTTGTAAATTTCTTGCAAATAAGAAAGTAAAAAGGCAGCTAAATTCAGAAAAATTCGAACACGCATAGATATTTTACCAGCTTTTAGCCCAATTTATCCATCCCTGTGGTTGATCTTCTAATCTCTTTAAGCCGCGCCTATCGATTTCCATATCAGCTTGCTGCCGAGCAATGTTCAAGTTAAACACATCAAGATGCTCTTCGGTTTCCTACAAGTTATGGATTAAATGCTAGAGGTAATGTCGAATTTTTTGTGGCGTAAAATACTACTAAGATATCGATAGACAAAGATTAGTACAATAGATTCAACCAGGTGTAGCCATATCGAATTTATAGTTTTTATACTACTGTGATGCAAAACTGATTAATTCGCACTCAAAGAAATAACATATTTAAATTTCAAACATAAAAATAAACAAAAACAGTATCATAGGAAAGACTGCTGCTGTTTAACCTTTCAATACTCAACTATTTCGTATAAGATCACTATTTGGGCATTTCACTTCCTCATAATTGTGTAACGATTGTGTAACGGGTGTCAAACCAAAATGGAAAATATCTAAGCTTTAAGTCTACCGAGTGAAAGATAATTTTAACTTTAACACGCGATTGCAACATGGAATCAAAAAAGATGAGCACTGAACTGCAATGATCTGTGAAACGGCATTATGTACTAATGATTCACAATTGTGCCTGTCTGTTCTCAACTTACCTCAATAATACTTCGATCTTTGCTGCTGAGGTTTTTCTCAGTTTGTTTTTTCAGCCAAGCGTCTTTATAAGCTCTTACTGATTCCCGATGCTTCTTCATTCTTTTCCAATTCCAATTATTCCTTCGTCTTCTAACAATTTCCTCAACAATTGCATTGTAAGCGAAATGCCACCTGAACAAACAAATATTCAAAATATGAACAAAGTTGTGTAAGAAACAAATCAAAGCCGTTTCCAGTATTTTAATTCTTTTAATACTCAACTCAAGTCAAACCCTTTTGCAGTTGTATCAAGTCGCCTTCCACCTTTTAATATCCAGTCAAAAATTCAGAAAAACTGCCCTTTAGAACGTCCAAAAAAAATTCAGGAAATTACCATTTCCTGTAATGACCCTTATAGTCATTCAAATTTGGACGATACTTCAGATACTGCGCAGCAGTTCTGAACCTTTCTTGTGCTTCCAACAGCAATAATAGATCCTGATATTGAAATTTGCCAACTGCAATAGCCAATGTATCCATATCCAAAATAAGTTTGATCTTCGGTATCTTCCAGTTAGAACTATCTGTTTCGGGCTTTTGATTTAATGCAAGCTTTGCTTGCATATTAATTGGTTCAAGCACTGTAAGTTCAGCTGATAATAAAAACAAATTCGTCATAAAATTTTCCAGAATGAAGTGTAAAAAACTTAAAGATATAATAAGCACAAAACGAAATGATAATTTCAAATCGCACAGAAAGGATGCGCTTAGCAACATTAAATTTAGCAAATCAAATAAACAATGATCTTATACAAAATTTTCGTGCCGAAAAAAGCCGTTTTTAAAAGTATACATAAATCTGTCAAAGACTTACTGTACTTGTATCCAGATGGCTTTTTATTGCCAACTATAATAGCATCATTCATTGCTTGCGAAATGGCAGCATTGTTAGCTAAGTCAGACATTAATTCAGAACTAGAATTCCAATAAATTGCAAGATTTTTTAATGATACCAATTTGTAAACAATTTTTACAACCTCTTTGTGTATAGTTTCATTCCAATTCTCATCAGTAGTCTGCAAAATATTCTTTATATGCAACTTTTTAACATTCAAATTAGTATTAATCTGATTTTCATTCGGTATTTTTCAATTCAGTCCTCCAACAGGATGGGTGAACTATCTACACTATGTATACTTGTTGCATTTAATACAACTTTCTAACCTTCGAAATAAAGAAAACTCAACTGGTGTCAGAAAATCTTCTCGCTAACTTTAACAAAACTTTACTCGGATTCTTTTTAACTTTTTAAGCAGAAAAGTTGTGTGCAAAAAAACTATTATTATACAAGTTACTACTAAACAACTGGTTTGAAAATTCTACTCATTAAGTTATCATTCCTCGAAGAAACAGCTTAAATCTATAGTTTTACTTTCCATCAAATGACTGTACCTTAAAATCGATCCCTTCAAGAGTAGCACCAACTACAAATGGACGGTTACGGTGCGAATACTTATCCTCATAGCGAATATGTATATTACGAACTGTCACTTGTAAATTCTTGATTACTGTAGCAACAAATTTCTCTGCGAATGTATCAGGAGCTAGATCTGGTGGTTCTGGAAAATTTGTAAAACTCTACAACCTAGGAATAAAAATGTAAGCTCATGAACTCGTAAGTTTCTACACAAATAATTTATAAACCTAAGAACAACCGTCCGCCGTTTAACCTCATTTAATTGCAATTTATGCTTCGCTTTAACTATGATTGATATTTCCCGTATAGCATTATAAAAAAAAAAGAAGTAAAAATAAAAAAATTTCGAAACCTACTCCTTCTTCGTTTTCTGTTTTCTTCAAGCCTCGTAAGTGTCTTACCCTTCTCTTCCTTCTCATGCTTTTTTGCTTTTTCTTCACTGTACACGACGCCTTTGTTTGGCACAACAATTAAATTCAAGCCTACAGAATTACGTCAAGAAAAGTGATAGGCAAAATATAAGCAAAAGCAAAAATTATAGTTCAGTTCATGATTTATATATTTTCTGAACCAAATGATACACAAAAACGTTTTAATTTCACTTTCTTTTAGCTGTGATTAGTGTCGTTTTTAGATTGTGTTACAAAGAGTACAACAACTTCATCCGATATTTATTACTTTTATCAAATGATGGTCGATATCATTGAAAAATAAATGCATTCTAAAACTTCAGACCGCTGAAAATATATATTGAATTAAAAAAGGAACCTTCAATATCAGCAATAACTGGTTGACGATATAGATCACTCCATGGGATTTTCAAAACAAGCCTTGTAAGACAACCGAATTTTAATTTTACCGGTAGATCGAAGTCATCCAATGCTGTTTCTTTCACTTCCAAATTGGTTAATTTTACATCACCTAGAATATTCTGTTTAAAAAATAATAGTGGAATAATAAATCGACTGATTAGCAATTGCAAAATGGATATTCTTATAACAAGACGATATGTCGATAAGATCCTCCTGAAAACTAAGAGATTTTTTAAAAGCTTTTTAACACATATTCAAAAAGTATAACAGTAAAAAATCATAATGATTTCGAACTCACCACCCCATATACCAATATTCAGCTGTGACGCATCAAGATTGTTAACAAAATTGCCTAATACACGGTTTAGAACTTCGGCTACCACACTTTCAAAAACCATTACTGAAAAGTATAACTGACCCAAGCTCGACAGATAGTCCACAATTACGCGAAATGAAAAACAACTGCAGAAAATTCAATAACAACAAAAAATTCAACGAAATATGTTAACTATTTTTCCTCACTTTCAGAAATATGATAAAAGAATTTTTTTTAGATCAGTAACTACTCTTCATGTCAGCTAGTTTAATGTAAGAAAATTGATCGACAACTG